GAGGAGCGTCGCTTTACTAGTGATTTGCATCGGTAGGTCCATCCCAGTTTTTCCAGGGGATTTTGCTCCTGAACTCACCTACGATATGTACATCTCCTCCCCCACCCGCCCCCCGAGAGACAGGGTTTTTAAAAAGCTTTGCACTTACTTTGCAGGATTTCACAAGGATGACGCCGGAGTTCTTGTAATTCTTTTTCTTCTTTTGTTTTTTGGGGTTAATGCATTCTAATTCTAGCTGTAACAAACAAGACACACAGCACACCGTGTGAAAGCCAAGTTCCGACAAGGGCTGCCCATCCCATTCAGTGTGGGATAGCTACCCGGCAGTCTGCAGCTCATGGACATGCCATGCTGCTGCAACAACCAAAAACATCTCACAATAATTAATGGTTAATATTAAATTAGTCTTCATTTTTCATCTTTAAAACAATAACTAACATTTTACCCCACTGCAGCACCTTCTGCCCAGGGATTTCAGAGCGCTTAAGAGACACGAATGAACCTTATGAGTTATCTCTGTTTGACAGTGGGGGGATAATGGGGTATCTACTTTTTGAGTACCTACCTGGAGAACCCTTGGGAGTGATTGATAGAGGTGCTCACACCCACTAATTTCTGTCCCCAGTATAGCGCTCACCTTGGGTTATCTAAAGGGGATGGGAGGGTGAGAGAAAGCCATTGCTAGTGGGGCATCCTTCCTTCGGACTTCAACAATCCAGCAGCGATTTTCAGCAGTAACTGGATAGGGAGAGCCTCCTTCAGAAGCAGAGATGCCACCCCAGTTTTCCCTTCAGTAGTTCTAATGATTGGTCACCCTCACTTAAAAACTAATGCCTTCTTTCTCGTGTGAATTTGCGTTGTTTCAGCCTCCAACCCCTGAATCTCAGGATGTTTTTTTTTCCTTGCTAAATAGCTGCCTACAAACAGAAATCTCTTCCCCGTGCAGGTATTTGTAGACCACGGTCAAACCACCCGTGAACCTTTTCTTGGATAGATTGAGCTTTGTAAATCTCACATTGTGAGGTGTTTCCCAGACCATGGAACGTTCTTGTAGGTCTTTCCTGAGCACTTTCCCCCAATTGCCGCAGCTTTTTGGGGAAGCGTGCACACCAGACATGGACATGGCATTCCAGAAGTGGGCTCCCAGATGCCATATATAGAGGTAATACCACCTCCCTACTCCTATGTGAGGTTCCCTTGCTATATATCCAAGTATTGTGTGCTAGGCTGAGCGGGCTGCGCTAACATCAGTGCTGCAGGAGTTATCTCTGTTTGACAGTGGAAATAAAGGACAAGCCAGGAGAATAAAACTCCACCCCAGGCAGAATCATAGAATATCAGTGTTGGAAGGGACCTCAGGAGGTCATCTAGTCCAACCCCCTGCTCAAAGCAGGACCAACCCCAACTAAATCATCCCAGCCAGGGCTTTGTCAAGCCTGACCTTAAAAACCTCTAAGGAAGGAAATTCCACCACCTCCCTAGGTAATCCATTCCAGTGCTTCACCACCCTCCTAGTGAAATAGTGTTTCCTAATATCCAACCTAAACCTCCCCCACTGCAACTTGAGACCATTGCTCCTTGTTCTGTCATTGGACACCACTGAGAACAGTCGAGATCCATCCTCTTTGGAACCCTCTTCACGTAGTTGAAAGTAGCTATCAAATCCCCTCTCGTTCTTCTCTTCTGCAGACTAAATAATCCCAGTTCCCTCAGCCTCTCCTCATAAGTCATGTGCTCCAGACCCCTAATCATTTTTGTTGCCCTCCGCTGGACTCTCTACAATTTTTCCACATCCTTCTTGTAGTGTGGGGCCCAAAACTGGACACAGTACTCCAGATGAGGCCTCACCAATGTCGAATAGAGGGGAATGATCACGTCCCTCGATCTGCTGGTAATGCTCCTACTTATACAGCTCAAAATGCCATTAGCCTTCTTGGCAACAAGGGCACACTGTCAACTCATATCCAGCTTCTCATCCACTGTAACCCCGAGGTCCTTTTCTGCAGAACTGCTGCCTAGCCATTCGGTCCCTAGTCCGTTGCAGTGAATGGGATTTTTCTGTCCTAAGTGCAGGACTCTGCACTTGTCCTTGTTGAACCTCATCAGATTTCTTTTTGCCCAATCCTCTAATTTGTCTAGGTCCCTCTGTATCCTATCCCTACCCTCCAGCATATCTACCACTCCTCCCAGTTTAATGTCATCTGCAAACTTGCTGAGGGTGCAGTCCACGCCATCCTCCAGATCATTAATAGAGATATTGAACAAAACTGGCCCCAGGACCGACCCTAGGACCGACCCTTGGGGCACTTCACTTGATACCGGTTGCCAACTAGACATGGAACCATTGATCACTACCCGTTGAGCCCGACGATCTAGCCAGCTTTCTATCCACCTTATAGTCCATTCATCCAGCCCATACTTCTTTAACTTGCTGGCAATAATACTGTGGGAGACCGTATCAAAAGCTTTGCTAAAGTCAAGGAATAACACATCCACTGCTTTCCCCTCATCCACAGAGCCAGTTATCTCGTCATAGAAGGCAATCAGGTTGGTCAGGCATGACTTGCCCTTCGTGAATCCATGCTGACTGTTCCTGATCACCTTCCTCTCCTCTAAGTGCTTCAGAATTGATTCCTTGAGGACCTGCTCCATGATTTTTCCAGGGACTAAGGTGAGGTTGACTGGCCTGTAGTTCCCCGGATCCTCCTTCTTCCCTTTTTTAAAGATGGGCACTACATTAGCCTTTTGCCAGTCATCCGGGACCTCCCCCGATCGCCATGAGTTTTCAAAGATAATGGCCAATGGCTCTGCAATCACATCCGCCAACTCCTTTAGCACCCTCGGATGCAGTGCATCCGGCCCCATGGACTTGTCCTTGTCCAGCTTTTCTAAACAGTCCTGAACCACTTCTTTCTCCACAGGGGGCTGGTCACCTCAGAGTCAGAGTCCTTCCCCCAGGTAGGGCTGTACAGGCCCACCATGAGAATTTTTAGTGGCCGGGGTCATGTCCAGTCTGAATATCAGCACGTAGCAGGCTCAGTGGCATCACCAACAGTTCACATGCGATGGCAGAGCCAAGGAGGGCCATACTGCCACCCACCCAGGGATTCCCAGAATGGCTTCCCATCCTCCAGACAGGCACATGGGGCGACGGTTCAGTGGGTCCTGCAGCTCCTGGATGCCGTGCAGCACGCTATCTCAGTTAACCACCATTGCTCATCTGCAGCTCCCTTCCTCCAGCGGCCCAGGCGACCCAGCTCACAAACCAACCCCTGGCTAGAGTGAGCACAGAACCTGGTCACAGAATCAGACCCAGGGTCGGCCACGGCCACTTGGCTCGAACCGAGACGGCCTGCGTTCGGGAATGGAGTGGGGGGAATCCTCCCGCCAAGCCTAACCCAAGCCTCAGTCCCAGCAGAGATGGTGCCTCAATCCCCTTCCCAGAGATCCCGTTAAAGTGCCCAGTGGGTCTAACAGGTAAGAACTTAGCTCTAATAACCGACACGCGTTTCCTTCCTCAGCGTTGGGTCGCTGGCTCCTCATTGCTGCTCTCTTTGGAGACGGGATAATTCCCTTTCAGTGAGAGCTTGTTACTTGATAGGGCCAATCATGTCCTTCTCTTCCCCAGATTACATCAATTTAGCTCCCTCAGCTTCAAGGCCTTGTCCTCCGGCCTTGCCTCATTTTTCATGTCCTTTAGTTTCTCCTACTTCCTTCCCCGGACACTGGGACCAGAACTGCAGGCAGCGTTATACTGAAGAGCAGCAGGTTTATGTTAAGCAACACTGCCGGCCAGTTTTTATTAGTGCTTTTTGTTTCCTGTCCCTAGCTGCAGGGTTCTGTATGTAAACAGCATACCGATGTGCTTTATATGTCAGGCTGCAGGCAACCAGCTTCCTGGTGCTTGCTTGGGGGTCCATTGTCAGGTTGGAATTTGCCTCTTCCCCTGAACAGTGATATATCCCCTGAAATATACCTGGTGGTATATTTACTGCAGGTAAAGCTGGTGACATGGAATGCAAATAACGGAGCCCAGGCCTGAGGGGCTACACCCAATCAGGTGGGATGCCAGCGCATCCGTGTTACGTACAAGTAACTATGGGTCCCAGCACTGATTTCTGTGCTAGGCCATTGTGCCTTTATTTGAAGTCTCAACCCAGTCCTTTGTCTGTCCCCTGCCATTGCTGTGATGGCCTTTGCAGTAGTATCCAACCTGCATCGTTTGTCCATTTCAAAATAGAACGAGCATATGCATGGATCATCCCCATTTTACCGATGGGGAACTGGGAGCCCAGAGCAGGAAAGTGACTTACCACTGGCAGGAGAACCAAAATCTCCTAAAACCCCCAGTCCCCCGTCTCTATCCACTATGTGACACACCCAAGGACCCATTAGGGGGTCTATCTTACCTCTGACTGAAATCTAGTTATACCAGATCCATTGTAGTCACTGAATCACCGAAATCACTAACTCATTATCTGCTGAGCAAGGCCATTCTTTATTTGACACGGTAATATTTGTGTGTGTGGGGGGGGGGTAGATACCTCTCCCCTTAATGGTCTCCCCGGCACCAGATTTTCAGAGAAGGCTCAGCTCCCCTTTGGACACCTAAATCGGTAGCCAGATTTTGAAAAAAAGCTCAGCAACGTTGGGTTCTGAGAAGGTGGCTCTAACCACAACACTGAGATCTTTTGAAAGAGACGTTGACCCGCTGTGGGTACTGAGCCCTTGAAAATCTAGCCCATAGCGACTCTCTTGTATGCTTACGATCTTAGCTCTAGAAACAGATTTCCAACACAGGGCAAAGCTGAACGGAGAAAGTATAAACCCAGCCCCTTGGCTCTGCTTTAGCAAACACAGGCATGTTAAGGGGAGTCAAGATCTAGTGGGAAACTGAGTCTGGATAATGTTGCCAAATAGGTGCCATTGGAGTGCTGTTGTATGTTCACCCGAAAGGAGCAAAGAGACACTGCTCCTGGGATCTGCAATAAAGAGGCTGCCTGGGTTATTCACAGCAAGTAATTGTATTAGGAGCACTGGGTACTAGACAGAGCAGAAAGCGGGAAACAGCCGAGAGTCCAAGCTGTGGGAAGGCAGAGGTTGATTAGTCACAGGGTAAACCAATGTGTGCACTTGTTCTATTTATAAGCTGTTACAGAGACGTGCCCCAGCCACCCCCTTTCTCCATAAACCTCCCCTCTTCCCAGGCATATGTACAATAAAGGTGTGACAAACGCAGGAGATCTGGGAATGTCAGTATCTACCTGTTACACCGTCTTCTTGAACAGTTATTGTGTAGCGCCTAGAGGCTCTCGCCAAGATCAGGGTGTTATTCTCCGAGGCGGTGTACATGCATGTAAGTAAAAGACAGTCCCTAACTTATATGCCTAGCAATCTACGGGATAGGAGTGTTATTATTCCCATTGTACAGATGGGGTTTGGAGGCACAGAGAAATTAAATGACTTGCCCAAGCTCACGCAGGGAATCTGTAGCAGAGCCAGGAAGGCCCAACTTTAACCACAAGAACATCCTTCTTCTCTGCTGTATTGTGTCATCTCCACAAGGGGCACCACAGAGCCAACTAACAGGAGCACGTCAAACTGCGTAGGGTACAGGGGCTATCTGTAGATGTAGGCATGGGCAGGAGTGAGAGGCCAACCTTCAGGGAGAAGGACTAAGCAAAGGGAGAGAGACAGAGGAAAGGAGGAGTGTGACTAGGTCAGAGAGAATCCACATTATCGACAGGCACCATTCCAGACAGCCAGTAAATCAGACCTCGACTCATCTGCAACTGGGACCAAAATTCAGCTGCCCGAAGCACTGTGGCTCTCACAGCTTTTATAAATAAGAGAATATTTGGTCAAGTATGTCAGGAATCTTGTGTTGTCATGTAGGTCAAGTTCCAGCACATTCCCTGGGAAGAAATCCCAGGGCAGGAAATGAGTAACTCAATAGTTTCCAGTTATCTTAATGAGAAAGAACCTTAAAAGCTGCCTTGGTTTGGCGAGAGAATGTGGCCGGAAGATGGGGTAGAGGCTTGGACATTTAGCTGCAGGAGACATCTTAGCATCCGGGGGGTGGTTAGAACACGCCGATCCCGTATGCACTGCAGTGAGCAGACCTCGGGTGCGTCTACACAGTAGCGGGGAGCTGTAATTCCCAGCTTAGGTAGACGTACACAGACTAGCTCTGCTCGAGGTAGCGGCTAAAAATAGTAGTGTGGCCACAGCGGCAAAGGTGGCCGGCTTGGGCTAGCTGCCCGAATATGCACTCAGGGGGAGCAGCTGGAGTTGTAAGCAGGAGGTTAGCCTGTGCCTCGCTGCTGATTTTAGTGCAATCGCTCGAGCAGCGCTAGGATGTGTGTGTGTCTGCCCAAGCCGGGGCACTTTAACACCACCCCTCCATTCCAGCCACAGGGGCAGTCTGCCGGGGGGCTTTGTGTGGAGCTAGGAGAGTGCCCTCCTGTAATAGCTGCCTCTAAAATTGTACTTAGAGGCCAGATCCCAGACAAAGGACAGTAGGGGTGCCTGTCTGAGAGAAGCTTTTAAGCACCAGGTGGAAATACCCTTCTCATTATCCTGGAGCACTGCAATGATGAAATGGGGCGTCTTCACTAAAACACGCAATTATATAGCAGCAAAGCGCCTTCTGGGATCCGATGCAGATGCAAGTGAATGGTCCAAGCACCGATTCTTTCCAGCCCTCTCAGAATATTCCCCACTGCTGTGAAGAGGGACAAAAATATGACATTTATGGGCATAGGCCCAATGAGAACTCGACAGCAGCAGCAGGCAGATCAATGGGAGGTCTGGGCTCGCGCTATTCTGTATGTTCAGGCCTAGCTGTCAAAGGAGATGGACACTCGCTGGGTGTTGGCATGTACGTGAATTACAGTCTCCGCTCTGATTCAGTCTCCCAGGGGCAGTGCAAGTGGCATTTTAAGTTATATTAAAGCAAGGACAGAAAAAAAAAGCCCCAAGAGAATCAAAACGAGGAAACGCCGGCAGAGCAATCCAACCGGAACGCGCAGGACGCACAGGAATCTCACCGCACCAACACCCGCCCTATTCATGTGAGATCACGGCCCGAGAGCTGCGCTTCTCTGTTGGGCAGCCAACTCTGAAGCCTTCACTGGGTCTGCACAAGTCAACACACCTCTGTGCCTCAGTTTCCCCATCTGTAAGACAGGGATCGTGACGCTCACCCACATCACAGAGGAGTTTGTAGGGGAGCTAATTAAGGCCTGCACAGCACTCGGAAGGTGGATGGCACTCAAGGAGGTGTTTAGTAGTAGGGTTACTGAAGGGAAAGTGGGTTTTGTAGCTAATGCAGTGGGTTGGGAATCAGGGGAAATCGGTTTGATTCCAAGCTCTGACAGACTTCCTGGGTGGGGTCACTGTCCTTCTCCGTTCCTCATATGGGATAATTCTTATCTTCTCCCACCCTGTCTGGCTGGTCTATTTAGACGGTGAGTTCTTTGGGGCAGGCAGTGCCTCTCACTGTGTGTATATCGACACTGGCACCCGAGGTGCAATTGCCAGCTCAGGTAGATATACCCCCGCTAGCTCTGAACAATAGCAGCGTCGCCGCGGTGGTGTGAGCGGCTAGCCGGCTGACTACACACCTAGGATCTTGATTAGGGTCACACTCGAGGTGGCTCCCACTGCCACGGCTACCCTGCTATTTTTAGTGCATTAGCTGAATCAGAGCTAGCGCGGGTATGTCTCCTGGAGCTGGAAGTGTAGACGTACCCAATGTGCATGGACATGGCCCAGCACAATGAGGCCTAATCTTGGTGTGATTACAATACAAATAAATAACAACAACCCAGAACCTGCTGAAGGAAATGGGGGTCTATTATATACCTTTATTACCTTGAATCTACTGGATTTTATGCAGCCCAATTTTTTCCCCAGGACAGTTCCATATCTAAAATAAGACCCCCAAATCTCAGTTGGGCTGGAGAAACATTGCAGTGTCATGCTGCGACATGGCTGCTGTGTGACATGGAGTAGCATCATCACGTCACCAGGGCTGTCCAGGTGGACACAAAGCTCAACCCCATGTGGCAGCAACCCCAGTTAGCCAAATCATAGAATATCAGGGTTGGAAGGGACCTCAGGAGGTCATCTAGTCCAGTCCCTTGCTCAAAGCAGGACCAATCCCCAGACAGATTTTTGCCCCAGTTCCCGAAATGGCCCCCTCAAGGATTGAACTCACAACCCTGAATTTAGCAGGCCAATGCTCAAACCACTGAGCTATCCCTCCCCCCAAAGAGCACTTCCACCAGCAACAGGTTCAGAAATGAGGACAGGAGAATGTTAGAAAAAGAGGAGCCAACAGTGGCCAAGCTATTCAGAAATGACTAGTGATTTTGGGTGCCCAGACACCTTAAAAGGGCCTGATTTTCAGAGTAGGGGCGTGCTTGAACATTGTTTTAAAGCATGAAGTCACTCATGGTAAGAGCCACTTTTGAAACTCTTAGCAAAGGGGACCCTGGGTTCCTCCTCCCCAAACCATTGTTCTAAAACCCGACGGTGTTTCCGCACTTACCGGCAAGGTATCTTGGGCTTCACACATCTTGGCTACAGTGGTCTCGAACTCCCCAATGAAGTCGTGTCCCCCATCACTGTCGTAATCATAACACATGACCTGGGGAAGAGGAGGGGAAGCGGTTGTTCTCATGCACAGCAGAGGTGCGGGTCTTGCTTGTGGTTAGATGAATCACATTTAGATGTTGCTCAACCCTTCAGATTTATCCTTTCTCTTGCTTTCCCCACTGCCCCGACACTACCTCCTGAAGGCCCTGGCTCATAACAGCCTTTCTGAGAGCCAATGAGGGCAGAGCATGACTCTTTGGATCCTGTCAGCAACAACTCTGCCTTGACCATGAAGGCAGGGATCTCCAGAGAATGACTTTAGATGTTCCCTCCTCTGGGGCCGGGATCAATACTTAATTTGTGCCAGGGCTGAGCCCCGGCACCTCCAGACTTGGCGGTTCATAGCCCCGGCACCCCTCTGGACTCGCTGGGTCAGCTATGAAAGTAAAAAAATTGCTTGAGCCCTGGCACATCTGCCATTACAAATTAACCACCGGTCTGGGCCTATTACTAGAAATTTCCTACCAGCGGTAGGAACAGAATGAGCGCTAGTGTTAGGGTTACCATATTTGGTGCCTCCAAATGGAGGACACTCCACGCCCCCGGCCCCGCCCCCGGCCCCGCCCAACCCCT